CATTGTTATAACCGGTCTCGGCAATAAACATATTTATTCTAATCAGCATTTACATTATCGTTCAAAAATTAATTTAAAAATTAAATCACTAAACTAAAACGAATTTCTTTTTTCTTATTTCTTCTTTTTTCTTTTTGAAATAACGTTGTAAAGTTCTCGTTTCTCTAACAATATTTTTACTCATGTCACGTTCAGATTCCACGTGAAATTATCGCTTTATCTATTTAATCAAATGTAGAAAACAATAATTGAATTGACATCTGACTGTTTTATTCAGCTTTGGCCTCTGTCTTTAGTACTCGTGCGTCGGCTTTCTTGGTTGTCCAGTTGTAGCAAGTGGAACGACATGCGATTCGTTCAGAGCAATTTAACTAAGCTTTGGGTCATGACCTTACTTTAACCATTGGATCTAATGGAATTTCAGGTGACATATTTTAAATACATATTGTCTCAAATTTTAAAACATGTTAAATGAAATATTTTAATCAAAAACTGTGAAACATTTAAAACATATAAAGTCTAATAGATTAAAGAGTGTAAATGTATAATATAGTAAAATTCGAACAAATAATTTTGATTATTTCAAACATAACTTTTAAACATTAATTCCACAAAAAAAATATTTTTTTTAATGATGACATAAATGTGACATAAATGATGACATAAATGTGACATAAATGTGACTATTAAAAGTCATATTAAAAGTCAAATTAAAAGTCAAACGCTACGTCAATACAAAATGACGGCCGGGGGGGGGGAGGGGGTTCAATGATCGAAGTTTAGGGTTTCCGCCGCCTACCAGCCTTTTTGTTTTAAGCGAAAATAAACATAGTGTTTTATTTAAACACTTATAATGTCTAATAATTTGAAGCTCTAAATAGTTTGTTTCAAACATTTTAAAGAAATATTTTAATACATAATATGGAAGGTATTTTTACCTACTTCAAAAAATTTTAACTAATTATTTTTAATATATAAATACCGTTACATAATGTAGCACGGGACATCTATCATAGTTTAGAGTGAAGTTATCATATTCGCAGTATACAACAAATGTGTATAATGGACGCTTCCAAAGATTGGATGTTGATTTGCTGTGAGAAAAATATTCTCGCGTAGATATGCCATTTAAGAGTGCAGCTCTTCTCAAACTTTGAATCTCGGTCAAGTTTACTATTTACGGCCTTGGCCCTTCCCTAATTTGTATAAATATTTCTAACAGTCGGTTCATTTATTTTACATAACAATTTTTGTTCAAAGTTTTCGTGTCGCACCCAAAAAATGTGGTTCATTGAGAGGGACATATTGGCAATGTTCACATGTCAGTGCAATCATTTCCTGAGTTTATTCGATTTTTCGGAAAAGACAATAATTTATTTTAATTTGTGTTTGTAATAAAATGTTCCTATAACAAATGTTACATAATTAATAATATTACAATGTATTCTCTCGTGCATAACTTTATAATTGAACTTTTGTTTCTTTTTCAATGCTTTAGGCCGATTCTGCGTCATGAGATCTATTGAACAATTTGCAGATTACAACAAGAGTCAACGCGCTAAAGAAAGAATGGAGAAGAGGGAGATTATTTATATTTAAGAAATTCAACTTTGAAGAGGAAAGGAAATGAGGTAGTGAGGATTTCTTATCATTTAGTGAAGTGTGTTATATACTTGCTCGGGAGACGCTTCTTTAAGATGTTCCTCTAAGCGAAGAGTAGATTAAAACACAAGCACAGTAGGACGAGTAGATTAAAACACAAGGACAGTAGTACGAGTAGATTAAAACACAAGGACAGTAGTACGAGTAGATTAAAACACAAGGACAGTAGTAAGAGTAGATTAAAACACAAGGACAGTAGTAAGAGTAGATTAAAAAACAAGGACAGTAGGACGAGTAGATTAAAACACAAGGACAGTAGTAAGAGTAGATTAAAACACAAGGACAGTAGGACGAGTAGATTAAAACACAAGGACAGTAGGACGAGTAGATTAAAACACAAGCACAGTAGGACGAGTAGATTAAAACACAAGGACAGTAGGACGAGTAGATTAAAACACAAGGACAGTAGGACGAGTAGATTAAAACACAAGGACAGTAGGACGAGTAGATTAAAACACAAGCACAGTAGGACGAGTAGATTAAAACACAAGGACAGTAGTAAGAGTAGATTAAAACACAAGGACAGTAGGACGAGTAGATTAAAACACAAGGACAGTAGGACGAGTAGATTAAAACACAAGGACAGTAGGACGAGTAGATTAAAACACAAGGACAGTAGGACGAGTAGATTAAAACACAAGGACAGTAGGACGAGTAGATTAAAACACAAGGACAGTAGGACGAGTAGATTAAAACACAAGGACAGTAGGACGAGTAGATTAAAACACAAGGACAGTAGGACGAGTAGATTAAAACACAAGGACAGTAGGACGAGTAGATTAAAACACAAGGACAGTAGGACGAGTAGATTAAAACACAAGGACAGTAGGACGAGTAGATTAAAACACAAGGACAGTAGGACGAGTAGATTAAAACACAAGGACAGTAGGACGAGTAGATTAAAACACAAGGACAGTAGGACGAGTAGATTAAAACACAAGGACAGTAGGACGAGTAGATTAAAACACAAGGACAGTAGGACGAGTAGATTAAAACACAAGGACAGTAGGACGAGTAGATTAAAACACAAGGACAGTAGGACGAGTAGATTAAAACACAAGGACAGTAGGACGAGTAGATTAAAACACAAGGACAGTAGGACGAGTAGATTAAAACACAAGGACAGTAGGACGAGTAGATTAAAACACAAGGACAGTAGGACGAGTAGATTAAAACACAAGGACAGTAGGACGAGTAGATTAAAACACAAGGACAGTAGGACGAGTAGATTAAAACACAAGGACAGTAGGACGAGTAGATTAAAACACAAGGACAGTAGGACGAGTAGATTAAAACACAAGGACAGTAGGACGAGTAGATTAAAACACAAGGACAGTAGGACGAGTAGATTAAAACACAAGGACAGTAGGACGAGTAGATTAAAACACAAGGACAGTAGGACGAGTAGATTAAAACACAAGGACAGTAGTAAGAGTAGATTAAAACACAAGGACAGTAGTAAGAGTAGATTAAAACACAAGGACAGTAGGACGAGTAGATTAAAACACAAGGACAGTAGTACGAGTAGATTAAAACACAAGGACAGTAGTAAGAGTAGATTAAAACACAAGGACAGTAGGACGAGTAGATTAAAACACAAGGACAGTAGTAAGAGTAGATTAAAACACAAGGACAGTAGGACGAGTAGATTAAAACACAAGGAAAGTAGTAAGAGTAGATTAAAACACAAGGACAGTAGGACGAGTAGATTAAAACACAAGGACAGTAGTAAGAGTAGATTAAAACACAAGGACAGTAGGACGAGTAGATTAAAACACAAGGACAGTAGGACGAGTAGATTAAAACACAAGGACAGTAGTAAGAGTAGATTAAAACACAAGGACAGTAGTAAGAGTAGATTAAAACACAAGGACAGTAGTAAGAGTAGATTAAAACACAAGGACAGTAGGACGAGTAGATTAAAACACAAGGACAGTAGGACGAGTAGATTAAAACACAAGCACAGTAGGACGAGTAGATTAAAACACAAGGACAGTAGTACGAGTAGATTAAAACACAAGGACAGTAGGACGAGTAGATTAAAACACAAGGACAGTAGGACGAGTAGATTAAAACACAAGGACAGTAGGACGAGTAGATTAAAACACAAGGACAGTAGGACGAGTAGATTAAAACACAAGGACAGTAGGACGAGTAGATTAAAACACAAGGACAGTAGGACGAGTAGATTAAAACACAAGGACAGTAGGACGAGTAGATTAAAACACAAGGACAGTAGGACGAGTAGATTAAAACACAAGGACAGTAGGACGAGTAGATTAAAACACAAGGACAGTAGGACGAGTAGATTAAAACACAAGGACAGTAGGACGAGTAGATTAAAACACAAGGACAGTAGGACGAGTAGATTAAAACACAAGGACAGTAGGACGAGTAGATTAAAACACAAGGACAGTAGGACGAGTAGATTAAAACACAAGGACAGTAGGACGAGTAGATTAAAACACAAGGACAGTAGGACGAGTAGATTAAAACACAAGGACAGTAGGACGAGTAGATTAAAACACAAGGACAGTAGGACGAGTAGATTAAAACACAAGGACAGTAGGACGAGTAGATTAAAACACAAGGACAGTAGGACGAGTAGATTAAAACACAAGGACAGTAGGACGAGTAGATTAAAACACAAGGACAGTAGTAAGAGTAGATTAAAACACAAGGACAGTAGTAAGAGTAGATTAAAACACAAGGACAGTAGGACGAGTAGATTAAAACACAAGGACAGTAGTAAGAGTAGATTAAAACACAAGGACAGTAGGACGAGTAGATTAAAACACAAGGACAGTAGGACGAGTAGATTAAAACACAAGGACAGTAGTAAGAGTAGATTAAAACACAAGGACAGTAGGACGAGTAGATTAAAACACAAGGACAGTAGGACGAGTAGATTAAAACACAAGGACAGTAGTAAGAGTAGATTAAAACACAAGGACAGTAGGACGAGTAGATTAAAACACAAGCACAGTAGGACGAGTAGATTAAAACACAAGCACAGTAGTAAGAGTAGATTAAAACACAAGGACAGTAGGACGAGTAGATTAAAACACAAGGACAGTAGGACGAGTAGATTAAAACACAAGCACAGTAGTAAGAGTAGATTAAAAACGTGCAATATCACCACCAATGTTTGTCCAATAACGATGTATTATTTGTTTAATAGCGTCACAAACGTGTTTACTTTAATCAGGGGTAAAAAACTATTTAAAATGGGAAGACAGCATTTATGTTTCATCTGCCTAGTACTAGCAACAGGATCATGTCCCTTTGTTCAAGCCTTGGTTTCCGATCTCTTGTTTCATGGAGTAAACAGTGATGTGTACGCTAACCCTGGTGACGTCAACATCGGCGTTATCATGACTCTCACAAGAGGCGTCACCAACATGTCCTGCACCAAGGTCCAAATTTCCGGTTCCTGGGGGATGGAGTACCCCGAGGCTGTGGCGTTCGCCGTGGACGCTGTCAATCAAGACCCCGACCTCCTTCAGAACATAACTTTGGGGTTCTACATATTGGACGACTGCTCAGCCAGGCAAATGGCATTAGCCCAGGCTTTGAAATTTTTGCCTCGATCGTCACAGACCTGTGAAGCGATGTCCCGGGACCGCCTGGTAAACATTTCAAAGGGGCGACTCTCGACGAGATATAATCCGGAAGAGCTACTCCCATCCTATGACGTCACCGCTGTACTGGCCCCGATGTTTAGTATAACGGCCGTCCCCGTGTCGTACCTGTGCACGGCAGCCAAGATGCCGATAATCGGGTATCTAACGACGAGCGATGAACTCAGCGACAAGACGTTGCATCCTTACTTCCTGAGGGTGATCAGCCCCGACAAGTATCAGACCCGGGCCATCACAAGATTCATCGCTGACCGGGGCTGGACGTACGTGTCGGTTTTGTACACCGAGGGTCCGTACGGTGAGAGGGCATTTGACAATTTCAAAATGTCGGCGGCGTTGTACAACATCTGCATAGCGACGGCGAATCTTATCAGAGAACTCGACGAATCGGAAATATTCGTCGATGAAATGCTACGACACGAAGCTCGCGTGGTCGTCTTCTTTGCCGACTCAAAACCATTTCGCCACATCGTCGACTCAGTCAAGAAATTTAATGCAAGCGGACACTTCATATGGATAGGAAGTGACGCACTGACTTCTGTCAGTAAAATTACTTTGAACCGGATGGCGGATAGCATAAACGGAGCGTTTTTATTTTTGTTTTATACCCCTGTGGTTCCGGAATTTCGCAAGTACCTTGGGGAAATTGATATCTTCTCTACACGCAACCCTTGGCTGAAAACAGCATGGGAATATCTGATGTCTTGCTCTTTCACTCAAGGAACTTGCTTGGCCGGAAGCGGTGGTTTTAAATCTGACCAGTTCATGCTACCGCCAATCATGGTGATGGACGCTGTGTTGGCGATTGCTCATGCGATTGAGAAGCTCATTAGCGATTTCTGCCCTGGGGTCAGCGGAGCCCAGGCTGTGAATTGTATTAAAAGAGATGTTTTACTTGAGTACATCAGCAAAGTAGAGTTTCGAGGCTACACTGGGGACATAAAGTTCGATTACAATGGTGACGTCAATGGAAAATATGTAATCTACCAGGTGAAATATGACAGTGGGTCGATTTCTCTCGATCGCAAAGAGTCAAACAATTCATCAGAGAAGTTCCTCGAGTACAAGGAGGTTGCGTTCTATGAAATTCAAACCGATTCAGTCTTGTACACCAATGCGACAATTACATGGGATCACCTGACCAAGAAGGAGCGCGTGGTGCCTCTCAGGCACGGCGAAGTGGATAACGGACAACCAGAATCGTTGTGCAGTCGACCGTGCATTGTTGGCGAGTACAAGATCCAGAAACAACTTAAGTGTTGCTGGGAGTGTAGGAAATGTAGAGACAACGAGAGAATCATCAACCAGAACACGAGCTGTGAGGAGTGCGAGATTTTCACATGGCCAGAACCTGAAACTGGATTCACCACGTGCAGCCCAATCCCGTTGGCTCACCCCACGTTCTCCGACTCTGTGGCCATCTTGCAGACGACAATCTCTGGTATAGCTCTGATCCTCACATGCCTGGTCTGTTCAACCTACACATATTACCGAGAATCCAGAGTGATCAAAGCAGCCAGTCGTGAGCTCAGCGTTCTTCAGCTTCTAGCAATATCTGCTGGTTACCTAACTGTCGTCTGCTTCCAGACACATCCCACCCCAGCAATGTGCGGAGTTCTCTACTTTTTGTTTTGCTTAAGCTTCGCCGGGCTGTATTCCCCACTCTTTGTTAAGGCAGTTCGCATCTACCGAATCTTTCAGAGCAGTTCTCAAAACAACAAGAGACTACGATTTGTTAGTCCCCAATCTCAGATTGTCCTTTCTATTATTCTTATTTTCGTACAGGTAAGGACTAATACTCTTATATATCACTATTGAAATTGTGTCTAAACATTATCTAAAGTAATTTTTTAAATTTCAATAACTGTGAAAAACAAATAATACTATTCAAACTTTTTTTCAAAAAGTTTAGCCATCATGTGTGATTGTGTGTCATGATACCGTTATCATTCTCTCATGTAAGAGGTCAAAACAATAATAAAACATTGGGTGGGGAGTTTCGACCCTGCTTACCCAGTTGATAAATGTTGGCACCAACATGAGGCAGGTAGTCTTCTAGAATAGGCACACAATGAGGTGGGTACACTTCTATATCTTGAGGCAGGTATTCTTCTAGAGAAGGTAAACCGTGAGGTAAGTACTCTTCTAGAGAAAGTACACCACGAAGCAGGTACACTTCTAGAGAAAGTACACCACGAAGAAGGTACACTTCTAGAAAAAGTACACCACGAAGCAGGTACACTTCTAAAGAAAGTACACCAAGAAGCAGGTACACTTCTAGAGAAAGTACACCACGAAGCAGGTACACTTCTAGAGAAAGTACACCACGAAGCAGGTACACTTCTAGAGAAGATAAACTGTGAAGAAAAACAAAAACAAAAAGTAATCCCTAAACAGAAAGGAAGAGAAATCTTGACAGGGGATCAGAAAATGTTTGGTAAAATCTCTCTGTTAAACCTTTACTTGAACTTTCAAGGCATTATCACTTTCCTTGTATTAAGTCAGCAGTCAACCTTGTGTGTGGGGAGCTGTTGTTAGTAAATTGTTAGTAAATTTTATAATGTTTATAACACATAATTTGTTGGGCTCTGTATGTCAATATAGATGAGACCAAAGTTGCAAAGCTCCATCTATTCATCATAAGAGCAGCGGCTTGCCAACCTTTGTTATTCGCTCCTTCTCTTTTTCAATATTATATGGCCATTCAAGATTTACAATTGTATTTTATATTTGGTCTCTGCATGCATCCAGGTTGCCCTTTGTATTGCGATGTACATCCTTTACCAACCCACCGCCCGGAAAACCCAACCTGTGACAACCAAGAAATTTGTCGAACTCAACTGTGATTTGACGCTACCCGGCCTGGCCTCGTTCCTGGCCTACAACCTCGTTCTGGTCTTGCTGTGCTCGGTGTTTGCCTTCAAGACAAGGAAACTTCCTGAAAACTTCAACGAGTCACAGTTCATCTCCATGTGCGTGTCAACAACGCTGGTCATCTGGCTGGCGTTCATACCCACCTACTACACGGCGGGTAGGCAGTTTGTCCGGAACCTGTTATTGTCCGCGTCTCTTCTGCTCAACCACACAGTGGCTCTCGTGTTTCTATTTTTACCTAAAGTTTACGCCGTCCTCTATCTGCCCTCCCGCGGCACGTCCATGACAAGCATTAACAAGGGCTTCTCACTTCAAAACAGTAGTGCTCAGTAGAAATCCCTTGCTCTTTAAATTTAGACTAGTTGTTGTTTGTGTGTGTGTGTGGTGGTGGTGGTGGTGTTTTTATTTCCAGAAGTTTCGGTTAATTTTTCGCTTAGATTAATTTGATGAGAAGAGATGAAGTGACCTTAGAAGTCACTGCAGTGTCCATTCAATTTCCATCGCATGGGCCATGGCGTTACAAGTGTTAACAATTTTGGACTGGAATTTAACGGTCCAAAAATTGTGTTGTGAAAAAAAATGATACCATCATCTTGGAATGGGGTCTCCTGTGTCCACGCGACGAAATCGGCTCCTGCAACAGTCAAGCAAAAACGTAGTTAGCGAGCCTATTTCTATTCAACCATTTAACTTGGCAGGGTTATTTTTCTTTGTTCATATTCATCTACTTTGAAATTGTCGAGTTGTGCATGTAGTCAAAATGCGATATTCAAGTGAATCCAATCATTGGTGGGGATTCTAAGCTATTTATTTGGATCTGGGGACTTTGAAACTGAAATATATTTAACTTATCAAATAGGGTTTGTTATCAAACCGTTCATAGTGTCGCTTTCTAATTGGTAGTACTAATAAGGTGTCAGTTTTAACATTGAAAAACTTAACTGCAAATCTTTTTTTAAATGAGCTGCTTTAGATAAACACAGAATGATGACGTCAATTGCAAATACAAGGAAATGTCCCTTCAAAATTGACCAGAATAGATTTTTTAGCTGGTCGTTAAATGTGTCTATGACATTTAAAGTATTTTTTTCTTTAAATACAAAGTTGGATAGATGATTTGGAGTATAAATAAATCTTATATATATATACTTTATTTTATGTGAATAAATAAGAAAGAAATACTGAATTGAATTATACAAATTTATGTTGATTGTCTGTGACGTATGTGTCACTAAGCACTGATCACTATCCTGCTGATTGTCTGTGACGTATGTGTCACTAAGCACTGATCACTACCCTGCTGATTGTCTGTGACGTATGTGTCACTAAGCACTGATCACCATCCTGCTGATTGTCTGTGACGTATGTGTCACTAAGCACTGATCACCATCCTGCTGATTGTCTGTGACGTATGTGTCACTAAGCACTGATCACTATCCTGCTGATTGTCTGTGACGTATGTGTCACTAAGCACTGATCACCATCCTGCTGATTGTCTGTGACGTATGTGTCACTATGCACTGATCACTATCCTGCTGATTGTTAGAGCTACCAATTTTTTTTATATGCAGCTCAGGACCATAAAAAAATAATTTCTTTGGCCGTTATTAAAAATTATGAAAAAAAAATCATAAACATTCAAAAATTCAAAACATACGAAGATGCTGAGTGAATTAAAGGTAAAGGGCTACACATGTGTTTATATAAATTTACATAGACATTTTAATGACACTACCTGCGTAATTTTAACATGTGATATTTTAGCACGTTAAAAACTAATATTTACTCTTTGTTTGCACTAAGACATTCACAACAATTGTTGGACGCCATAGGCTTCTATCAACCCCCCCCCCCCAATTAGTAGACGCCCCTTTTGGATCCCTCATATGTGTAAAGCTAATAATTTTAATGACACTACCTGCGTAATTTTAACATGTGATATTTTAGCACGTTAAAAACTTATATTTACTCTTTTTTTGCACTAAGACATTCACAACAATTGTTGGACGCCATAGGCTTCTATCAACCCCCCCCCCCCAATTTGTAGACGCCCCTTTTGGATCCCTCATATGTGTAAAGCTAATATCGCCTCAAGTTTCACTTCAGACGTGTGACATCAAATGGTCATGGCGTCACTGTTCGCTACTGTCGTATCCAATGGAAATTATATCTCTATGCATAGAAACGTAAAAAGAGATTGCTAAACTCAATGTGAATTTAGTAATGTGATGTGTTGTACAGGCACATTGCCAGTGTTGATAAAAGCTAACTGAAACGTCACACAAATCTTACTTTTTTCCCCGTGATATTTAAGGGTTGCCTTTGTCGTTGTTGGTAAAACTGATTAACGACTTGTAGAATAGTTTAGTAACAACAACCATGTGGGAAAAGAAAGAGTAAGTATGTATGGCATCTTTCCGTCTGCGGGAGACGATAGATTATCTTTATTGCTTGCAGCTCTTGGTGTTGCTGGTGAGACCAATCCTCGAATGGCAGTCTCTGTTACATTTCCCACACACGAATGCGGTGGAGCAGTATTTACCGGTCTTCCTCCTCGCTCTTTTTGCAGCTGTTTCCACCCTGTTTTGCTCCTTGGCATGTATTGATCCTGCCTTCACGATGTTCCTCCATGAGGATCTATCCTCTGCCAACTCCTCCCAGTTTGAGATGTCGATTTTGGCCGACTTTATGTCTCTTTTGCATATGTCTAAGTATCTCAGACGAGGCCGTCCAACTGACCTTTTCCCTGTCGCCAGCTCGCTGTATAGCACGTCCTTTGGTATGCGACCAGATTGCATTCGCTTGACGTGTCCAAGCCAGCGGAGGCGTCTTTGGATTAACATGGCTGGGACGCTACACATGTTTGTTTGGGACAGGACATCCGTGTTATTAGAGTATGTGGTCCACGACTCGCATCCATACAGAAGTGTGCTCAGTACGCAGGCCTGGTACACCTGCAGCTTAGTTCTTGTTGTGAGTTTGGCGTTTGACCAGACTCTTTTCTTCAGTCTGGCCATAACAGTTGCGGCCTTCCCTATCCTTCCACTTATCTCATCCTCCATTGAGAGGGTGCTCGATATGTTGGATCCCAGATATGTGAATCTGTCAACAGTATCCAAGTCGTAGTCATCGATGGCGATAGTGGGGAGGGAGTCAGCGCCCCGTGCCATAATGTTAGTTTTCTTTAGGCTAATTGTCAGGCCAAACTCTTTGCAGGCAGCGGATAGGCTGGATACGAGGCTCTGCAGGCCGTCAGCTGTGTGAGATACCATAGCGATATCGTCCGCAAACAAGAACTCTCGCAGCAAGACCTTTCTTGTTTTAGTCTTAGCTCTAAGGCGGGCAATGTTGAATAATTTACCGTCATCTCTAGTGTGGATGAATATCCCCTCGATGTTGTTATTAAAGGCATACTGGAGTAGGATGGAGAAAAAGATTGCAAATAAAGTAGGAGCCAGCACGCAACCTTCCTTTACGCCACTACCCACTGGACAAGATTCTGAGGCGGCACCGTTATAGCACACTGTGCCTGCATGTTTTCGTGGAACTGATTGATGATGTTAAGCAGTCGTGTAGGGCAGCCTATCTTTTTTAGGATCTGAAACAGGCCGCTTCTGCTGACAAGATCAAAAGCCTTAGTGAGGTCGACAAACGCAATGTATAAAGGCATATGTTGCTCCCCTGCATTTCTCCTGCAGCTGGCGCAGAGAGAAGATCATGTCTATGGTTGACCTACCGGCGCGAAAACCACATTGCCATTCTGGGAGTACACACGATGCTAGGGTCTGTAGGCGGGTTAATGCAACTCGAGCGAAAGCCTTTCCAACTATGCTGAGGAGGGAGATTCCACGATAGTTCTTGCAGTCACTCTTGTCTCCTTTATTTTTGTACAATGTAATGATGTTTGCATCTGTCAACTCTTGTGGTAGCTGTCCCTGTTCCTA